CTATATATATATATATATATATATATATATATATATATATATATATATGTGTGCGTTCTCTATCCTCCTTTGTAAGTTTTTACTTGGTAGCGTTCCTGAAGAATGTTGTTTTCACTCTTTATTTATAGCCAAGTTACTACTGTCATCACCTGAATAGAACACCCAGTCATTATAGCTGTATCTGGTACAATTTCTTGTCCAGATACAGCTATAATGACCGGGCTTTCTATTCGGGTGAAGACGGTAGTTAGTCAACAAATTTCCAAGTCTGTGTTATTTGGAATGCCTTTCATCTTCATTCAACCAATCAGAACGCACAGTGATCACAACTGTATTTGGGGCATCTTTCAGTCCAGATACAACAGGGATAAGGACTGTGAGTTCTATTGGGATGAAGATGATAGGCAATCGTCAGTGCGACTGGCCTTCAACATTTCTAAACCGGTTCGTTCAATGAAGGTTTTTTTTTTTTTTTTTTTTTTTTCCGAAGAATTGGAGCTGCTTTAGACATGTCTATGACAACTTTCATGATTGAGCAGAATTCAGAAACGACTCAGAAAAAAACCCATCACTCCACTTCACCCTCCTCCGGCAAGACTGACTGCAGTGGAGCCACCACCTCTGCTGCTGCTATGCCATACTCCCATCCTGCCAGCTACCCCCCTCACTGGTAGGACGCGTGATAACCCACCATCTTCTCCCACACTCCTTATGTTATTTTTGAAGTACCTAAGAACTCTAGCATGAGAATAAGCTACAGAGGTCCTACGATTGTTCCCAAACCCTCGAAATCCCACACCAACCCTTCCAACGTTCTCCAAAACTGTCGTACTCCCTGCCGATGTCTTCTAGCTCTCACACCCCCATTTTCTGCTGGGTTAGAGGGCAACACGACTCATCCCAGCTCCGACCAGCGTCGTCCTGGCAGCAACCCTTGGTTGTCCCGTGGAACGCCCACCCCAAGACATCCCTAGATCTCTCTACCAGACCTTACGGTCCTGCATCGCAGATTATAGGGCAACACCCGAGCACCTGTCAGCGTCGTTTTGGCATCGAACAACCGCAGATCACTGAGTATAACAACATTGAAACCACCTAAGATGAGTTAGTAGGGATCCCAGAGTCCTAAAAACCATTCCCAGGACCCCTAAACACCCAACTCTTTTTGGGATATTCAAAAAACTTTAGAGAAATATAAGAGCGGGGGGGCAAGACTTAATCTGCCTACTCTCGTAGATTCCCCTTTGCAACAGATGGGGCGTCGGTCCAGGCTTTCAGTCCTCGTATCAGAACTCACTTAATCTCATACCCCCTTCTGCTAGGGTAACAGGGCACCACAACCTTCCCCAGCACCGATTAACCTAGCGCTGACGGACAGGAAGTGCCTTCCTCCCTCGACAATTCCCTTAGCGGCAAGCCCCTAGCAGGTTACAGGGTCAAAACCCTGGCGCCAACTACGTCGGACGATTTGGTTATGCCTTCCACCCTCGGCATAACTTCACAGGCCTCAAGCTCCCCCTGGGTTATGGAGCAGAGGCTCCAGCACTGGCCTGTGTCACCCCAGCCTCGTCCTTCTAGCCTACTTACCCTAACAAACAACCCTTTCTGTTGAAAATCCCCTTGCTACCTTCCTTCCTTCAAATCTAGCTCCCGCCCCCCTTCGGCTCACTGTGTAGCAATTGAAGTTACTCCTTCCCTCAAAAATAGAATCCTAACCCTCTGCAATAAGCAGCCACCCCCTTGCTTCTCTCCCCACCCGGCAATACTGATCCGACCCTAAATCAGTCTGGCGACAAACCCCCAATACCGCACCCCCCCCTCAAAGAATAACACCTCCCACCTTGTGAAACCCTCACGGGGGGAGGCTCCACCCTCAGGGAAGACCCCACTGATATACACTGCGAGCCGCAATTATACCACTCAGACCAGGAGGTTGAGATTAGCAAACAGAAAAAACCAATCCGAATCAAAGATTACCCCTGAGAATAGGATCCTGAACAACTACTAGCCAAAAATTCAGGAAAAAAAAACAAGATCAGGAAATTGGTTTTTCCGACAGAGTTAAGAGGGGAAAAATTATCCACTCTTTTGATATAGGTTCTGACGATCACCCAGGATTCCATAACACTGTTACTTTGTGGCTATCAAGGTTACACCTTCCCTCAAAAAACAAACCGCCTAGAGCATGCCTCACAGGCCGCCCCCTTGCCTTCTCTCCCCAACCGCCAGAGCTGATCCCACCCAAAAGCAGCCTAGCCCAGAAAAAGACGAACCCTCAATACCGCCTCCGCCCTCCAAGGGAAACTCCTCCCACCATGTGTAACCCCCACGGGGAGGGGCTCCAACCCTAAGGGAGAACCCCTCTAATCACAAAGCAAGACCCAAATACACCGCATAAAGACCCAGCTCCAACCCTAAAGGAGAACCCCTCCAATCACAAAGCAAGACCCAAATACACCGCTTAAAGACCCAAGCAAAACTTCAGAATCAGACAATTTCAGCGATAAAGAATCCAGACTGGGAAGTTGAATTTTACAGACAGAAATTTGTTGTTTCAAATGAAGAGTGACTTTTAGAAATGAAAGTTGAATCCAAGTAGGGAAGATGACTTTGAAGCTGCACATAGGTAATCACAATAGAAAAACTATTCTGAT